GTGACGGGGTTTTGTGCTTCGAGCGCCCCCTAACCGCTAGGTCATACTAGGCCTACTCACATTATACTCCATATTTGTAAAGCTGTGTTGGCGAGCATGTTTGGTGACGGGGTTTTGTGCACTTCGAGCGCCCCCTAACCGCTAGGTCATACTAGGCCTACTCACATTATACTCCATATTTGTAAAGCTGTGTTACGTCTGATGATATATACTTCGTGTAATTTATCGGTTTGTATTGATGGTGTCACATGGCACAACAGATTAATATAGCTTAAATTCATATTTTGGTGGATGTTAACGATAATATATCTTGTGTAGTCAGTTGTTTTCTTTTCGATAGTTTCAATAAGTTTTTCAATTCTGTAGTTTCTTCTTATGTGGCGACTTGCGGCTAAGTATCAGCATCTTTCAGAAACATCGGTGGGTGCTGAGTTGTACCAGATCATGAAGGATCACGTCCTCGAGCCATCTTCCTCAGATGTCGGTAGACAAGAAGTTAAGTCGAAACCCTGTTGCGCAAAGGTACATTTAATTCTGTCTTTAGCATTGTAAAAAAATAATGTTATTTACAACATCAATTATTAGATGAAAAACAAAAATCTTTCTCACAACTGTTTCTGAAAAACAAGGAACAACAACAGAAACTACATCACATCCAAACTACAACAGTTAGCTTCTGAAGTTCTTTTAGAGAGCTTACAATAAATTCAACAAGAGAAACTACATCACATCCAAACTACAACAGTTAGCTTCTGAAGTTCTTTTAGAGAGCTTACAATAAATTCAACAAGAGAAACTACATCACATCCAAACTACAACAGTTAGCTTCTGAAGTTCTTTTAGAGAGCTTATAATAAATTCAACAACAGAAACTACATCACATCCAAACTACAACAGTTAGCTTCTGAAGTTCTTTTAGAGAGCTTACAATAAATTCAACAACAGAAACTACATCACATCCAAACTACAATAGTTAGCTTCTGAATTTCTTTTAGAGAGCTTACAATAAATTCAACAACAGAAACTACATCACATTCAAACTACAACCGTTAGCTTCTGAAGTTCTTTTAGAGAGCTTACAATAAATTCAACAAGAGAAACTACATCACATCCAAACTACAATAGTTAGCTTCAGAATTTATTTTAGAGGGTTTACAATAACTTCAACAATAGAAACTACATCACATCCAAACTACAACAGTTATCTTCTGAATTTCTTTTAGAGAACTTACAATAAATTCAACAATAGAAACTACATCACATCCAAACTACAACAGTTATCTTCTGAATTTCTTTTAGAGAACTTACAATAAATTCAACAATAGAAACTACATCACATCCAAACTACAATAGTTAGCTTCTGAAGTTCTTTTAGAGCTTACAATAAATTCAACAACAGAAACTACATCACATCCAAACTACAACAGTTATCTTCTGAATTTCTTTTAGAGAACTTACAATAAATTCAACAACAGAAACTACATCACATCCAAACTACAATAGTTAGCTTAAGAATTTCCTTTAGAGAGCTTATAATAAATTCAACAACAGAAACTACATCACATCCAAACTACAATAGTTAGTTTCTGAATTTCTTTTAGAGAGTTGACAATAAATTCAACAACAGAAACTACATCACATCCAAACTACAATAGTTAGTTTCTGAATATCTTTTAGAGAGCTTATAATAAATTCAAGAACAGAAACTACATCACATCGAAACTACAATAGTTAGCTTCTGAAGTTTTTTTATAGAGCTTATAATAAATTCAACATGAGAAACTACTTCACTTCCAAACTACAACAGTTAACTTCTGAAGTTCTTTTAGAGAGCTTACAATAAATTCAACAAGAGAAACTACATCTTGTTGAATTTATTGTAAGCTCTCTAAAACAACTTCAGAAACTAACTATTGTAGTTTGGATGTGATGTAGTTTCTCTTGTTGAATTTATTATAAGCTCTATAAAAGAACTTCAGAAGCTAACTATTGTAGTTTGGATGTGATGTAGTTTCCATTGTTGAATTTCTTGTAAACTCTCTAAAAGAGATTCAGAAGCTAACTATTGTAGTTTGAATGTGTCCCTAACAATTAAAATACTGAAGTAAGATCTGAGTGTAGATCTGGTCATCAGTTGACCTGGGAGTCTTGTCAAATTTTGTCCCTAACAATTAAAATACTGAAGTAAGAACTGAGTGTAGACCTGGACATCAGTTGACCTGGAAGTCTTGTCAAAATTTTGTCCCAAACAATTAAAATACTGAAGTAAGATCTCAGTGTAGACCTGGACATCAGTTGATCTGGGAGTCTTGTCAAATTTTTGTCTCGAACAATTAAAATACTGAAGTAAGATCTGAGTGTAGACCTGGACATCAGTTGACCTGGGAGTCTTGGCAAAATTTCGTCTCTAATAAGAAAGAAATGACTGACAGCAAACACAATCATGACTTGGTGTGAGTGTCCAGCTAGTATACAGCTATAAATCCAACCTGGTCTTAGTTTTAACTTCTTCAGTGAAAAGTATAACAATAAAATCAGTCCAGTTTTGAGTTATGTCAGCAGTAACGAGCTACATGAATTACAAAAACGGAGTGTTCCCATTAAACAGTCCTGTTCTGTTGGAGAAATAATAAAAAGTCAAAGTTTTCGAAGTCATTGTTTGATATTCTATGAAAGTATATTGTTTGAGTTAAACTTATGATATAATTTTAGTCTTTCTACAAAATCTGAAGCGTTTCGTTTCTTACACTTGAAACTGTCTAATTTAATGTAAAAATCCATACATGGGCTTTCTAAGTCGACTAGGAGTTGTCCTGATTAAACTTGAATTTATTGTAAGCTCTCTAACTATTGTAGTTTTGATGTGATGTAGTTTCTATTGTTGAATTTATTGTAAGTTCTCTAAAAGAACTTCAGAAGCTAACTATTGTAGTTTGGAAGTGATGTAGTTTCTCTTGTTGAATTTATTATAATCTCTCTAAAACAACTTCAGAAACTAACTATTGTAGTTTGGATGTGATGTAGTTTCTGTTGTTGAATTTATTATAAGCTCTCTAAAGGAAATTCAGAAGCTAACTGTTGTAGTTTGGATGTGATGTAGTTTCTGTTCTTGAATTTATTATAAGCTCTATAAAAGAACTTCAGAAGCTAACTATTGTAGTTTGGATGTGATGTAGTTTCTATTGTTGAAGTTATTGTAAACCCTCTAAAACAACTTCAGAAACTAACTATTGTAGTTTGGATGTGATGTAGTTTCTCAAAAATTTGACAAGACTCCCAGGTCAACTGATGTCCAGGTCTACACTCAGATCCTACTTCAGTATTTTATTTGTTAGGGACAAAAATTTGACAAGACTCCCAGGTCAACTGATGTCAAGGTCTTTACTTCACGAATGTTGAGTTCTGTTCTCGGTCCTTACTTCTGTATTTATAATTATCACGGACGAAAGTTTTATCCAATACTTGAGTTATACTGATTTCTTTCTAAGTTTATTTAAATTAATTTTGTGTTGATGGAATAACTTTTTTAACTTATAAGTAAATCTGATGGCAGATAAGATCATTTTATGGTAGGTGGAATTCCTTTCGGACTCTTAAAATGTTTTTGAGAAACGTTCCACATGGTAAGAGTGTAAAATGGATATTGAGAAGAGAACAAACGCTTTTAGTGGAGTGTGAATTTTACGTGTTTTAATATACTTTAAAACGAACCATGTTCTATGTTGTGTAACATAAAAAAAAACCCTATCATTTGAACTAGCATAAGGACACTTACGACAAGGAAGGTTACGAGGAAATAGTAGATCCTGTTCAGAGAGCCAAGAAGTCTAAATTGGAGAGGTACTCGATGGTGGCTGATAGAATAAAGCGAAGAAAAAGACCCACTACGAAAAGAGAATGGCTAGATATTTACCGGGAAATCTTCAAAGGAATTGGAATCCCAAATGATAAACTGGAAAATCGTGACTCTTGGTTTTCTGCGCGTAAAAAACCAACAAGAAATATAGACCTATCGGAGGAATCTGATATGATAAAGGACTTCTGGACAGCTGGACATCGAGGAATATCCGAAGGAATTCATCCGTCAAGAGATGAATCCACGAAAATAACTAATCGTCTAGCTTCAAAACAAGACAAAGTGGGAAAACCAGGAAAACCATCCAGCAGTGGTAGTCCTTTGGAAATATTGGAGGAAATATTTGAAGGGGCAGGATATCCCAGAGAAGAAGCCAACCGGAAGGCTGCTTGGATCAATATACATAGAGTGATATTTCAACAAACTGGATACTCAAAAGAAGAAGCGTGTAAAATAGCTGTTCTATTAGCTATAAACCGTGAGATTTTCGAAGGATCGGGACAGTCTATTAACGAAGCTGTAAGAAGGGCTGCTTGGTTAGCCATGCATAGAGATACTCTGGAACGAACCGATATTCTGACTGAGGAGGCTGCCAGAAGTACTGCGTGGCTGTCTTTGTGTCGAGAACTTGTGGAGAATGAGACTACGTCAAAAAGCTAAGTTATATCCAGCCATATATCTCAATACTATTACTTGTTTCTCAGTATTTTTTTTTATAAAACTAATAAAATCGTAATTGTTGGAGTTAAACATGAATATTATTACAACTGTATACGCGGTCAACTAAAATAAAGTTTTAAATAAATTTAAACTAAGTACACTCAATACGAGATCTGGTAAAAATCAGATTAACTTGATACATATGACGCCAAGCTTGGTTGAAGTTAGATAAACTTGACAACCTGGTCATACTAAAATTATTTAAACTTAGTACACCAAACACCGGGTCTTGTTAAAATGATTTAACCTTAGTACACCAAACAACGGGTCTTGTTAAAATGATTTAAACTTAGTACACCAAACACCGGGTTTTCTTAAAATGATTTAAACTTAGTACACCAAACATCGGGTCTTGTTAAAATGATTTAAACTTAGTATACCAAACACTGGGTCTTGTTAAAATGATTTAAACTTAGTACACCAAACAACGGGTCTTGTTAAAGTGATTTAAACTTAGTACACCAAACAATGGGCCTTGTTAAAATGATTTAAACTTAGTACACCAAACAACGGGTCTTGTTAAAATGGGGGTCTTGTTAAAATGATTTAAACTTAGTACACCAAACACTGGGTCTTGTTAAAATGATTTAAACTTAGTACACCAAACAAAGGGTCTTGTTAAAATGATTTAAACTTAGTACACCAAACACCGGGTCTTGTTAAAATGATTTAAACTTAGTACACCAAACAACGGGTCTTGTTAAAATGATTTAAACTTAGTACACCAAACAACGGGTCTTGTTAAAATGA